GATAAAGTACCCTGTGGTGGTTTTGATGTGTAATCTCTGTGACTATGACTAATCCGTGAAAAGTAGATACAGCTGATGAGTGCCAGACACATAATATCAGTATTTCAGTATCTGTTTGAAAATTGCTGCTACCACCTGGCCACAAGTAAATACTTAAGTGTTTATAATAAGTAAATACAATTAATCGTATATATTAATCAAAATTTAAATTGAATAATTAAATTTATAATAAATACTTTAAAATAAATAAAAGTTTTTAAACTTGCAGAGGTGAAATCAAAGGCTTTGAGTTTGTCAGAACATTAAAACTGATTTCCCCTCTCTCTTTCCTGATACGTTAGCATTTAAAGCCAATCAGAGAGCTGTCCCTTCTTCTCTGCTTAGATGTTCCTGGTATCTACAGCAAAGAATACAGAAACTTGGACTCCAACAGATAATTTATTTCTTAACTTTTCCTTGACTTTAATCACTATCAGGCTGTGTGTGTTAGGTTTATGTTTTGGAATACTTAATAACTGTTAAGAATTTAAATTAAATTTACAAGAAATGTCAAACAAATATAGTGTTTTTTCAGAAGTTCCAATGATGTTGCTGATCAGTAAGTAGTTCCTTTAAGAACTTTAAAAATATTTTACTTAAGAATGAAAAAAGCTCTTGTAGCATTTTATATCTTGATAAACACCAGCAGGTGACTAGAGTCCTAATGAGGCCGACCTGGGAGGTACATGTGCATGTGGCCTAGAAAACATGCCAAAAATAAAGCAAAGGTTGCACTTCTGTGATATAATACTTTCTCTCATCACCAAAAGCCATAGATCCATATAGGACACATTGTATCTTCACACAGTATGGTTTTCTCTTAAGGTCTGTGGCTACATATGGAGAGAGTCCTTGGGATTTACTCTAGCATCTTTGAATTCACACTAATAGCTTCTGAAAGAAAATTCCATGAAAGAAAAGAGGGGACTCCTCAATCTAAAGAGAAGATCCCTCATGGAGGATGAAGTTAGGAGAACATTTAAGAGTAATTGGTGAAGTGCAGTATAAGAAATAATGCATAAAACATTTCTTTGCTTAGTGGCACTGTCATCCTTGTCCCTCACGTGTACTTTTCCAGTTTCTGTGTTCACCCTCAGCCATAAAAACAAACAATTTCCTGCACAATCAGAAAAGGGAAAAGGAATTGTAGAAACCATCCTACCTGTAGGTCCCTGCTATTCTATTGCTATGACTGACATATCATACTTCCCTGTGAAATAAATGCCTTATGCCTCTAAAGAATAACAGTTCTTACTAAATACTAACAGGGTTACAACAGTCTGAGGAACTTTTGCTATTTCTGGTAACTGTGATGGAAACAGCACCTCTTTCTAAATGTAAATAAAATGCATTACTTTGGGCAAGGACAAAATCTCCTTATGTCTAACAGAAAAACCTCTTAGAAATGCCAGAAGCAAGGAGTAAGATTTTCAGAGATATCTTGGTCACTTATGAGTCTACTGACTTCAGATGTTCTCCTACCAGTGGCAAGTTTAGGTGTTGAAGCTCTAATAGATCCCTGCTCTGGCTGCATCATTTTTTGGGCCTGACACACACACCTTGTTTGAGTGAATAGGAGGGCACCCTGCAAGAGTTGTGTGGTGTCTACATTAGAGAATTGTCCATCCAATAACTACATAGAGAATTTATGCATATTAGCAGTGCAATCAGTACTCCCATGTGCTGAGCTTGTAACTGCCTGTAGTCAAGCTGCTTAAGAAACAGGAGTCAGAAGACTTTGGCTGCACAGACACCTTGCACCAGTTTGCTAACATACAGGAAAGCCCCTAATCCATAGTTGAGAGCCATTAGCAAAGCAGGAGGGAGTAGTGGCAACATCTGGCATTATGTTACTCGTTGCAGAACATGCAGGTACATAGACCTGTGGGGTGCTAGGTTGTCTTTACCCACAGAGGTCAGGTACAACTCAGTGCCTGCCAGGAGACCATGCTTCCTCATTAGGCTGTTCTATGTGCCTGGCAAAAGGGAATTCTCTGTTCTGTTTTTTGAAGCAGATCTACCACACAGCAAAGAATGTAAAGTTTTCAAGTCCAAGAAGAAAAATGAAAGGGGAGAGTCATGCAACCCTCTGAAGGCAGGTAGCATTCCCCTCTCAGACCAGTACTTTACACATTGCCATAATCAACATTTTTCATTGTTATTTGTTAAATTATTTACTGAGAAAAATTTTAATCTGCATAATACAGAATTCTGATCTTTCCTCCAGACAAATGAAGGTAAACATAGTTGCAATACTTAGCAGAGAAATGAATTAGCAATTAAATAAATGGAAGAAGATATCTGCTTAACTTTGGTCAGCACAGAAGTTTGCTATCTAGTCTAAATTAATCTCCTCAATTCACTTTGTAGCCAGTAGGAAAAGATTAATACTTCCCAGAGTGTTATTGATTCCATCCACTCTCAACATCTGTTTAAAGATGAGGTGTTCTGTTTCTCTCCACTGAAATTTATAGAGCAATTGTATTGGTAAAAATACCCAAGATTTATCTGGTGAAATATGATCTAAAGAATCATGCATTGGGTACAACAGCTTATTCTTTAGAGACTTCATCAAATTAATATCTCTACTTGAAAGTAAAGCTATTCCATAAAAATGTAGAAAATATTGGAATAAATGTCTATACTGAATTTGTAAAATGGTAGAAGTATCTCTAGTAGCTTATATACTGCCCTTTTATAGCACATGCTGTGGATGTTATGAAGAATTCTGTGCTTAAAATTCTTACAAAAATGTCTCACAAACATATGGAATCACTGCAATATTCATAACGCTTGGCTTGTTACGTAGAACATATTTGCTTTCTTCTTCAGGCTCTAGCACTACAGATAATCCGCATTATTTTTTTCATATCTTTTACAGTGTCATGAAATATATAGCATAATCTAGGGAACTGTGTTCATTCAGTTTAATAAGAAGGAAACTGCCTAGATTAAGAACAGAAAGAACTATCCTTTTTAAAAAAAAAAAACCAAAAAAAAAACAGGTAGAATGGAATGAAATAAAACACAGGCATACTTTCTAATTGCATTTCTTGTAATGAAACAGTCACTGAGAACTCATGCTTTTTAACATTTATAGTAGTCTTAAAAGAGAGGTAACCTCTGAAATTGAGTTACATCAATAAAAATAAGAACTTATTCACACACATCCTTAAATGATCACGAAAACATGAAAATGAAAGCTTTGAACAAATGCTTTTACATATGCAGGATCTGGTAACTTTCATCCAAATGGATGTTTCAATTATGATATTTTAAATTGACCACACCCTATTCAAAATCCTTGAGGTGTATTTTTCTTCATGTTTGGAGATGGGACTTTGGGAACAAGTGTGTATAAGGTGAGAAAGTCTGCATGTAAAGTGGGAGCTGGATACCAGTAATCAAAATCTATGCAAAATTAAAACCCTTGTGGCTCTGAGAATAATAAAAGAGGTTAAGATACGCAGGAAATGCTAGAAGTCGTCAAAAAAGCACTTGAAAGGGAATGTTAGAACTGCTGCCTGTAACAACATAAATGAAAATCAGATTATTAAACTAAAAGGTCAGTAAATAACAGCAGCTGACACTCATATCACAGAATTTGTTTGCTGGCTGCCATCTGAATATTAGTATCAGAAATCTCTGTCAATCAAAATAAATATTTAACTTGTAAATCTGTGCTCCCACACTGCTTTGACATTCCCTTTCCCCTCTCTTTTTTCTATTTTTTTTTAAATTATGTTTTACATTTTTTTTCAACCTAAAAAGAACAAAAGGGTTCTTGTCATCAGTAATTCTGGAAAGGAATCAACCTCCATCCAGAGTTTTCAAGTTACCAGAGCTGCTTTGTAATACCAATAATGTTTTATAAGAGCATCGTGCTTTGTTTGGAACACAGAATGCTACTGAAATGTAGTTAAACAACAATTAACAATGGGAGCAAACTCTGGAAACTGTGATCTACTTGGTTCCAGAGGAAAAAAAAGACTTGTTTCCTAAGCAAATAGTCACTCATAGCTGCTACTCACACATGACTTGATCCCTTGTTAAAAGGAAGAGTTTATATTATAAGGACAGTATGTTACTCAGTTGAAGAGGGAAATTAATGCTATGAGGAACATTTCTGCTGTAGTCTATCTGTTAGAAAATTGCATGTAATTGGCAGCTCCTCTATCCACTGTAGCAGTTTGGCACAGGCAAATGAATTTGACCCAGACGCTTGACTTCTCTTTTGCTGCTATAAGAGCTTGTAAGTCTGACAGCTCTTTCTGCCTTGCTTTCTGCCCAGCCTTGTCATGAGCTGTATTAACAGCTTCCGGAGTAAGTTTAAGTCCACAGCTTGCCCCTTTTGTCTTGTTTTAGTTTCATGGTTCACTTTCAGGATTCCCTACATTTTTGTTGTGTTGAAGAAAGCTGGCCAAACTTGTGTGTAAATCTTGACCTGAAAATTTCCTACTGAGGTAGTTGTTACAGCTGATCAAGAGTAAGTGTTTTAAATTCAGTTAACTACTGCATAATAAATATCTTAGTAAACATATTATGCTTGAAACTGTTAGTAACTTACTAAGTGCTAATGTGAGTGGATTCAATTTTCACTTGGTCAAGTAAGAATTAGTTATCTCAAAACTTGTAGTAATTTCTACTTAAACTGTTAGGTAAGGCTTGACAATATTAAAATTTCTTAACCCTCAGCCTTTTGTCAAAAGAATATTCCACTGCTCTAAAGAGGTGTAGATGGTTCATCTGGCAAACCCTTGAATTTTAACAGTAGGAAGTAAAAAAAAACCTAAAAGGAATTACCATCTTCTACCTGTAAAGGGGTATCAGTAACAGATGAAAGTTATAGTCTGTGTGGGGAAAAAAAAAAAGCCAGTAAAAAAAAACCCAAAACAATATTCGTTGCTTACAAGAAAATATTTGGAAAGGATTACAGCATTCCCAGGAAAATTTCTGCTTACCAGATCCACTGCTGCTCTCTTGAGTTATTTTTTCATCAGCTTCATCGTCACTATCACAGTTTAATGGCTGAGAAGCTATTTCTGACTCTGTGTCTGCTTGATTAGTATCTGGCTCTTGCTCAGCAAAGCTTCGCAGTGCCACAAGGCGGTGATGTATTGCTGCATACAGGTACCCAGTGTCTTTTGAGCTTCCCTGCAGAACATAAATTGCATAGAGTCCAAACTAACCAAGAAGAATCTCTACTTTTCATTCAGAACCTGACTAAGAAATTTTCAAAAGTATGAATGAGCTGTATTTTGTGCTTTTTAATCAAAACAGTTCACTTAAGATTCACATGTAATAATTCATTTCAGAAAATAAATTTAAAGATAAATAATGTCAAGTTTCTTTAAGTGGTCTGAGTTTTATAATATGTAAATGTTGATTATCTTATCTACAGTGACATGAAACATAAGGTTAAAAATTATTATTCCCCCTGAAGAATGGCTCAGTTCGTACTGACTACTTCATATTCCAGGCAATTCCTGAATGTGGTTCTAGAAGTAATAAAGCACTGAAATATTCATATATGTATTGCATATTTACAGAATAAATTAGAATTTCAAAACCTAACTACGAAAATAATTTGTGGTTATAAAATTGAAAGATACCATGAATTGTGCCATTATTGTGAAATAGAATATGACATCATCAAGAAGAGTATTGAGAACTAGAGAAGGCAGTGTTTTGCCAGTACATGAAGCCTTCAAGCAGTCATGTTCTGAGTACTGTGTTCTGTTCTGAGCACGACACCTCAAGGACAAAGTAGAATGAAAGAAGATACAGGGAAAGGCACAAAAAATTATCAAGGGGGTAGTGCAGTTCCTTGTGAAGAGTTGAGACTCTTCAGTCTGAAGGGAATAATGAGAAGGGGGTATCACTGGAGTTTTCAAAATTATAGAAGTGGTGGATAAACTGAATATGGTACAACTGTTTAGCAAATCACACAGTAAATGCTTAATGAAGGCAGCAGAGGATTAGTGTAATGCTCATTCATAGAGTAAGAACTTCTAGAATTTGCTGCCTCAGGAGAGAGTGGGAATAGAAAGTATGAACTAAAACCAACAGGCCAAAATATAGTAGTAAAAGTTTAAAAAATGAATTAGAAAAATTCAGGGAAAGGCATTTCATAAAATAGATAGCAAAGGAAACTTCAAGTAGAGGAGCATGCTCTCACATGCCTAATGCAACACTTCCAGACACTGTGGGTTGATGAGGTGAACAGACCATACCAAGTGTCCACACATGCTTGTGCTTCCTAAAAGCACTGCATTTGGGCACTGTTAGAAGTGTTACAGAGTACTTACCATGTTCTTATGAAGAAAATAACCTACCAGAGAGTAACTGAATGCATATGATAGCCCAGTTCTCTAGCTCTGTGCATGTGGAGTAATTTCTGTCTATATCACTTGGCAATAGGAAAAAGTATGTCTTCTTCAGATTGGAATGACATGTTTCAGTGTGTACAGGTGTATGTAACTGGGAAGCACCAGCAGATCAGGCTTGCCTTCTGTGCTACCCAGATGTGCAGCAGCAAAGAATTCTCTCCCTATAGCCAGGCACAGAAAAAAGCAATTTGGAGTTGTTCAGGTGTCTCAACTACAGATGAAGTTTTCAGTGGGCAAATCTAAGCTGTAAAGAGCTTTTTAGGGCAGTAAATATGAAAGAGGTAGTTATTCAGTCTGATCATTTCCATCTGTAGCTTTTTACTCACTCATTCAAAAGCCAGAGTTCCTCTGTCACTTTAATAGGAACTCCAGCTTCTGCCATGAGAGGTGGACTCACCTCCATAAATCCTCTGACTCCTCAGCTCTACCCTCTCCACTGTGCCAATACCACCATTAGGGTGATCACATGTGAATAAAATCAAGCTAAAAAACTAAGCAAACATGGAAAAAACCACCCATATCAGTTCTCTGATCTGCCTTACTCATAGCTGTACAAATTCCAATGCCACCAAAAGTGAGCATGCCAGCCTTCTGTGCCAACCTGGGTGACTTCTACAGGACCAACCTAATGGAGTCTTGTGAACTGCCTCCCTTGATATCAGCACCATATGACTCTTCTCCTTCACTCATGAGAAATCCTTTGTATAATACCCGTGAACCAAATGATTCAATCATTCCTGTGACATGGAAAAAAATTAAATAGCAGTTAAAATTTCTGCTTGGAGGTTTGGGCTGCACTGACTACTAAACCAGCCTGATTTATGAGCCAAGGCTTTGGTGATGCCTGCCGTGTGTTTCAGAGATTGACCAACTTGCCTTCCACACTCCAAGGTCACTGGTTGTCCAGCTGGATACCAACCATAGGGATGGACACCAGTCACTTCAGTGACAACTGCAGAAGCAGCTTCCTGCAGCACTTGTCACTCACATACAGCTGTCACATACCTTGATTCTTGTTGGGAGCCGATGCTATTCAGGGGTATTAGACTTAAGTGGGAAAGAAGAAAAACATTTCCCCCAGTTCTAATATATGTATTTTTTTACTGTCCAGAAGTGCCAGGACAGAATTTAATGAATGTTTACATCTATATATGCTAGAAAAAAATGCAGCACATCTGGAAATCTAGGATAGTTCTAATTGTCAAGCTGTGCAGCACAGCCATAGTTAGGTCAATCACTGTTCGGAAATTATAGACTTACATTGCTTGCATATACAGTATATGGTGCTTTGTTTGAATATGACATAAGACCCTTCCTGGAAATGGTGATTTTTCTCACCCAAGAGACTGAAGCCTTCCAAGGAAGGTCTACTGGAGAAGCCAGAGACATCCTTAAACTCACGTGGATGCTCTCAATTCCTAACCTAGGATGTACACGGTATTTATTTGCAAATAACTCCACCACATTCCCATCTTCCATTTATCAGCCCTTGCTAGAGAAAATCAGAATTCCCAAGACTACTGTTGGGTGACATTGTAAAATCTGTGTTCTCCTCAACTGAAAAATAGAGGTGCAATGCTGGATAGATTATTGCAAACACTTGTGTTGAGAACCACTGCAGAAAACTGCTGCTTTGTACAAAAGTAACCTGTGAATATGTAACTACCTGTGTAGAAATTCCTACCATGCTGTTTCCATAACAGCTAAGCTAATTGTAACCTCACAAAGCATAGAAGTTCATTTGCCAAGACCAGAACCTCAGCAAGACTTCAGAATCATAAAAGAACTAAGGACTTGGAGGGCACTTTTACCTCTTGCTTACCTGAATTAGAAATACTTGAACAGAGTGGTCCTCTTGGTCTGTTGCAGTGAAGCACAGGCTCTTCCTGTTTGCCCTTTTTATAACCATTTGATCCCAAAGTCGGGTGTTAAGAATTAGTCTCAAGCTGCCTTGATTTCGCATAACTAAAATAAGAAGGTTTACATGATAAGTCATTGGAACCATCTGTATTTTTAATGTAGCACTTTTATGGACCACTCATATACAACTAGTATTTTCATTAATTACTCTTTTTAATTTGGCCTAAAACCTGACATGATGAGATTTTATTATTATTATTACTATTATTGTTATTATTGTTGTTATTATAATACCAAAATGTATCAGTTTCTTTCAATATATCTGGCATTCAAAGCAAATATATCTGCTGAAACTGTGCAATACAGAACAAAAAATAACAGCAGAGTAAAAACAACATTCCAGAACTGACTTGAAACAGAGCTCCTGGAAAAGCAGAATCAACAAAAAGCAAACTATCAGACTGCTGACTGCGCTAAAGAGGAATTGCAGTAGAAATGCACAGAACATAACAACATGTGCAAGCATGAGTGTACAAAATAAGTGAAAAATGTCCAGTGCCTTAGTCTGTAACACAACTAACTATACCAGGCAACATTAAAAAGATTCTCAGCAATTTGATTTAAGTGAAACTAGCTACTCAGTTTTAAACGTGCTGAAACAAGTTTGTGACTAGCAATAGCATAAGTTTTTTAGTGTTTCATGTGTGTTACTTTGTTATTTAATTCTTACTTAGCCTTGACTGCAACATTCCATCTTTATTGCTAGAAGTGTCATTAAGCCTCAGGGATCCACTGCCTCTTTCAGTCCAGGTTAAAGAGAGCTTATTAAAAACAAAGAGCTTGCAGTTTATCTGAAAGATAAATACATGATGGAAATGGACAGTGTTGATTTTATTGGTTCTAAAACTCTATGTTTTAAAACCTTTTGATACAGCTTTTAATATGCATATGCATGTATTCAAAGCTAAATATATAGATATATATCCCCATCATTACTTACAAAGAAATGGCTTGCAGATCTGCCCTAAACTTTCTGCTGATCATGGAAAACATTCAGCATGAATCTTAGTTTAGTGTTTTCAATTACTTCATCTTCAGTAACTCTACACCTGTGAACCTACTAATGCAGCTGAACGTGTTGCAAGTGTTCTACAATCTTATTTTCTCACTCTTTAGAAACATTATGCAGCCCAAGATACTGGCACTTCTCCTGAAAGAGTACTACTTCAAAGAGAATTAAACTTCTGTGTTCTGAGAAGATAAAATAATGTAACTTCCATGTTAAGATTTTTAAAATAATATACATCATTGCTATTTTCTGAGCAAGAGCTTAAAGATTAGCAAGATACATCCTGCTAGGCCAGAAAGATAATTTGTATTTTAGACTCACTACTTTGACAACACATTGCTTTCCCTTCCCTCCAAAACAAATTATCATAAAAAATATTTCTACAGGTCACTTCCAATTTTGAAGTTTTAGTTACTGCTGATGGCCTGTGTAGATGTTTATAAAGCACAACTGTGGAACAAAGTTCTGAAGCAGCCACTTACTGAAAGTGACTATAAAATGAACAAATATAGTATGAAAAAGAAAACAGTAGCCTATAGAAAAATTGGTTATGTCTTAAAAAGTGAAAATTTAAAATATAAACTGAAGTTATTTTCAGATTCCTGCAATCTGCAGTTGATCTAGATGTTCTTTTCAACAATAAAACTGCTCATTGTCTAGGCTTTATGAAATACACACCTGCAATACATTGTGTTCTGCTTCTTCCCCAGTTATAACTTCAACTTTATCTAACAGAACTTTCTCCACTGGCTTAGAAATACAAGCAGTTGCTGATTCCGTTGGTGTTGCATTCCTCAACAAAGCTGTTTCTTCAGGGAAAAAAAAAAATCAAAAAACCTCTTTATGGGATTATTTTTCAGGACAATAAAGCTAGCACATAAAATGGCCTGTGACTTTATTAATCCCTGTGGTGTCTAATATTATTTATTGTTATTAATAAGTTTTTGGCCAAAGCATAAATAGAAGAGCAGAAGAAAAAGGCTGGAATGATCTAAAATGTCTCACCTGTTTAGTTTCATTTTGAATTGAACAAGGCTCTCTGCAGTTGCAGAGGTTTGCCCTTAAGGGCAACTTGCAGAAACCAGCCCTAAATAACAGAATCATAGAATAATTCAGGTTGGAAAAGACCTATAAGATACTCCAGTCCAAACTTCAACCTAACTCTACTAACCTAGACCTACCAGCCCACGGCTAAACCATGTCCCTAAGCACCATATCTATATGATTTTTAAGCACTTTCAGGGAGGGTGATTCAACCACTTCCTTGGGCAGCGTGTGCCAGAGTTTAATAACTATTTTTGTAAGGAAGTGTCTCCTAACATACAACCTAAGCCTCCCTTGACACAACATGAAGCCATTGCCTCTTGTCCTATCACTTGTTATTTGGGTGAAGAGACTAACACCCACCTCACTACAAGCTCCTTGCAGGCTGTTGTAGAGAGAGATAAGGTCTCCCCTCAGTCTCCTTTTTTCTCCAGGCTAAACAACCCAGTTCCTTCAGATGCTGCTCATATGACTTTTTTTACAGACCCTTCATCAGCTTTATTGCCCTTTTCTAAACACACTCCATCACCTCTTTCCCGTACTGAGGTCCACAAAACTGAACATAGACAATCGCTTCCCTACCCCTGCCAGCCATGCTATTTCTGATACAAGCCAGGGTGATGTTGGCCTTCTTGGCCACTTGGGTGCACACACTGGCTCATATTCAGCTGCTGTTGACCCACACTCCCAGCTCCTTTTCTTTGGCCCATCTTTGTGTGGTCTGCAAATTTACTGAGTGTGCACTCAATCGCTTCGTTGAGATAAAGATATTAAACAGGAGTGGCCCTAGTACTGAGCCCTGGAGGACACCACTGGTGACTGGCTGCTGACTGGATTTTACTCTGTTCACCATAACACTTGGGGCTGAACCACCAAAGAGTATGCATGTCCAGGCCTAGGACAGCCAGTTTCTCCATGAGAATGCTGTGGGGAACAGTATTAAAGGTTAGGTAGACTATCCGCAGCCTTTCCCTCATCCAATAGGCAGATCACCTTGTCATAGAAGATCAGGTTCATCAAGCAGGACCTTTCTTTCATAAACCTATGCTGACTGGGCCTGATCACCTGGTTGTCCTATAAATGGTGCATAATGGCACCTGAGGTTACCTGTTCCATAACCTTCCCTGCCACCAAGGTCAGACTGACAGGTCTCTAGTTCCCTGGATGATCTTTCCAGCCCTTCTTCAAGATGGGCATCACATTTTCCAACCTCCAGTACACTGGGACCTCCTCAGTTAGCCAGGACTTTTGATCAGTGATGGCAAGTGGCTTGGTAAACACTTTGCCAGCTCCCTTAGCAGCCTTGGGTGTACCCCATTGGGGCCCATAGACCTGTATGTATCTAAGTGATGTAGTAGGCCACTAATCATTTTCTCTTGGACTTTGAAGGTCTTACTCTGTTCGCCCTTCCTGTCTTCCAGCTCAGGGAACTGGGTATCGAGGGAACAACTAATCCTACTGTTAAAGACTAAGGTAAAGAAGGCACTAAGTACCTCAGTTTTTTCGTCATACTTGGTCACTATGTTTCCTCCTGCATCCAATAAATGATGAAGATTCTCCCTAGTCCTCCTTTTGTTGTTAATATATTTATAGAAACATTTTTTGTCTTTCACTACAGTGGCCAAGTTGAGTTCTACCTGGGCTTTGTCCCTTCTAATTTTCTCCCTGTATAGTTTCACTACATCTCTGTAGTCCTCATAAGTTGCCTGCCTCCTTTTCCAAAGTCCATTTGTTTCTGAGTTCCAGCCAAAGCCCTCTATTTAGGCTGCTCTTCTTCCCTGTCAGCTCATCTTTCAGAACATGGGGATAGGCTGCTCCTGTGTCTTCAAGACTTCCACCGTGAAGTATTATCAGCCTTCCAGGGCCCCTTTGCCTTCAGGACTCTCTCAACTCTTCTCCAAAACAGGCCAAACTCTGCCCTTCAGAAGTCCAATGTGGAAGTTCTGCTGGCTTCCTCCTTGCTTCTGCAGTAACTGAAAACTCTATCATTTAAATGATCACACTGCCCAATCCCCCACAGAACTTCCTCTGTTAACAAGCAGCAGGTTCAGTAGACCTGAGTTTTCCAAGTGAAACTCGTCTGTCATATTGTTGTGCATAAATAAATAATGAAAGACATATGTCCCAAGATTCAGAATAGTTACACATATAAAATGAACATTTAACAGGAACACGAAAGGACAGGGTTTGAAAGGAAAAACATTCTTACAGAACTTTCTGTATTGCATACTCTATGTTTTCCATAGGCTTTAATTTTTATTCTTTTTTTTTTTTTTTTACTTGTAAGAATCATAAGTAAGTTCATACATGTAAGAATCATTTAGGTTCATACAAAGAGGATCCAATACATCCATTAGTAAAGAGGGGAGCAAAATTTGGCAAGAGAGCTCAAGATAGGGAACTACTTGTGAGTCCCTCACAGCTTAAGTTCATGGCTTCGCTAGTAGAAAAGAGTACACCAGAGTCACAAACAACCCCTGAAATCAATCTGCATAGAAGCTCCAATCCCAAATGAGAATACAAATATGGCGAAGCAATTTATATGAACAGTCTCAAAATAAAAGCAGCCAACAACTTAGAATTGCACTTTAACAATGCAGTCCAAAAGGTCTTCGCAAAGTTCACTGCATTTTTTTCTAATAATAAATAATAATTATCTGTAAAGCTCTGTCCTTTCCTGAGTAACTTAGATTATGAATTCAGAAGCTAGTCCAGTTAAAATGTCATAAAACAAGCTGTAGCTGCTTTCCGAACACAGATTTTGGCACACACTGCAAGTGTACTAGTGACTGGATAACTTGAAAACAGATTAAAATTATTGACCACCACTCATTTGACATCCTCTAAGATACAGTGAAACATATAATAATAAAGTTAACTGTACTTTAGTTGAGTTTGCTGAGTATGCTTACTTGTTTGTGGACTGACATAAAAAGACTCTATGTACATGGATGTTATTTCTCCTTTATATGAATCAGCTTCATTACACAGCTTGGGATGCTTTTCAGGGCTCTAAGAAAAATGGGAAATAAAAATTCCTATTTAAATAGAATGGCTATGTTCCTTCACATCAAACTGAACATTAAATTATTTAATGCATGCTAAGCCAAAGTTTCACAGTTATAATATCTAAGAGTAAAACTGACTCAGATGATACAATTTCAGCCTCTAGTAGGAGTAATTTTTTAATCATAAAATCAATACATTATTCTTCCACCAAAAAGAATGGCCTCTTTGTACGGATTCTGGACTAGGATTTAAATCCACTGAAAGACTTAGATGTTTAAATACCAGCTGATTTCCAGTTTAAGCACTTAAGCCCCGGCATAATAGTTTAAAATTCCCAGAGATCACAAAATTCAACTCAGAGGAATTAAAAATTTCTATGACCTTCAGTTTTTGCAGATGAAGGTTCTTAGGCACGTCTAAATAAATGCTTCTGGCTCCTAACAATATTTAGTAGCTCAGCTCCTGCCTTTTAACTCAAACTTGGCCAAAAGTCACACCCAGACCTATGGTTGCCAAGATTTTTCACTGGCAGATACGCATACTGCTTTTATTCTACTTCTGCTAGAAAATGAATTTCAGTTCCATTTAAAATGTTGCAGTCCTCAGCTTGGGAACCACCTTTTGGTCTGAATTTGCTTCAGGACTTGATCCATGAAGCTGTCTCATAGTATTCACAATGTAGTTTAATAATGTGGACACAATCTAGAATGGGTGTTTAACTTTCTCCTTACATTAATTTCTCCCACCTCTTACCAGTTATGGTGGAAACTATTAAAGTAGTGGACACCACATTCTTTTATTTCATATTGTGGCTGTCCCACTTTACATGGAATACATTAAAAAAACCCTATTTTGGTAAAAAAATGAGCAAAAGAGAATAAGTGCATACTGATATTGATTAGTAATTCAAGTACTTACCTAAGATGGGAAGAATAAGGATGCCTAACCCTACCCTAACCTCTACCCCTACAGCAAATATTTAGATATTTTCTCCTTAACAGTCATTGGAATCATATTTACTCATATCTTGAAAATAACAGAAGAAGCTAAAAAGAATTAACCTCTAAAAAAAAATTAAACTCCTAAGTACATTAACCTTGATAAAATATCTGCCACCATTTACAGATCTTACCAGAACTCTTTCATCCATGTTTTCTCCAAACACAAAATCAGAATTGCTGCTCTTTTGTGCACTTCTGTCTGCAAACAACTGACCTCTGTGGGATCAAAAGAAGATGTGATTTAGAACTATTTAGAAGTTTATACAGAATATAAATAAGTTAATGCATTTACTTTACTATACCTTACATCAAAGACAAACAAAAAATGACCACTTAAGTAATCAGACAAATTCTTTAATTTTTTTGCTACAATTTTAGTCTCTAATGGGAGTAATTTTATTATCATAACATCAATACATCATCCTTCCAACAAGCAGTTCTGTTACTCTTCAGAATAACATTGTCCCTATTGCATTACAGGCCTTCCTTGGCCATCCATCTGACATCTTGGAAAGGCAGAAGGGCAGTGTATCCTAATACACACACTTCCCATTCACATAAATACTGCAAAAAGTAAAGGCAGGATGGCAGGTGGCTTATGATGAGGTATAACTAAAACTGGAAAGGAAGACCCTTCTATTTTTCAATTACCTGTTCCACAGATGTACTTAAAATGAGAAGTGAAGAAAACTAAATACTCCTTTGGTACTAGACAACTACAGTTTGGAGATACAGACTAGGGAGAAAAATTAATAAGGTAGATAAATCACTTTCTGTTTAGGATCTGTAGTGTGACTGGTTTTGGCAGAGGCCACATTAAAACAACACTTGTCCTTCTTACGTCCCTTCTTCCTTCTCAGTGTCTCAGATTTTTCAGTTTAAAAAACAATTTATTTTTTTGATTGCCCCTCTGAGTTTAACTACTCCCAGTTAGCCTCTTATTTTTTAGGTGTTTCTAAGAGAAGGATTTGAACATTTTTCTAAGTAGTGACATAGTCACAACTTGTAAAAAGAATATTACTTGTGTATTACATTAAAGAATATTGTAATATAAGTAGAGTTGTGATTTTAAATACTAATTATACAGCCACTTTAACTTAACAAGGTCCATTTTATATAAAAGTCACTAGAAAAGTCCTTGTAAATTTATTTCTGTGGTTTCTGCTGTTGGCTTCTGTTGCTGTTTTTTGTTTTGTTTTGTTTTTACAGAAGGCTTGTAGGTTGTTCATGTTTTTTGTAGAGCTTAATCACTGCATCCCTTCCTGGCAAAGGCAAAACCATCCAAGTTCTTGACCCCTTCTTTCCATAAGGATGACTTGGCAGGAAGATGATCTGATGCTCTGTCACAAACTGCATACTTCAGCACCCCTTACATGCTCTTCCAGGTCATTTACGACCCTTGGCAGGGCTTAACAGCACATATGTCATGCAGAGGATCTTCCTGTTACTGAGCTGGGTTTCTTGACATAACTTTGATGATTGCCTCTAATATTTAGTTTCAGTGATCACAACTATAGTGTGCTTGAATTTTCTTCAGAAGGCATTCCCAAGTACAAGCTTTCTCCACTTGATATATATGGAAAAAAAAAATTCTTTAACATGCTCCTGCTTGATATGTTGCTAAGACTAAGAGTGAATGAGAAAAATAAATCAGAAAATCCATCTCTTTTCAGCCTTTCATATGTGTTTTGGGCCTCTTGAAGCCTTTCATATGTGTTTTGGGCCACGAACAGGGAATCTGAAGTGTGTTTCTTATCCTTAAGAAAACTCCCAATTGAAATTGATAGAATTGTAATTGATTTAAATCCTGAAATTTCATCTGCTACTTGTAAGCTGCTCCAGTTGCAATTTAGTAAGGATAGCACTCCAGGAGAGCTAAAAGCCCAGAAACTAGATCCTTGTCTCAAAGAAATAATGTAGGAAATGGCTTTTTATTATTTTCAGAAATGTAAGGGAAAAGTATTCAGTGCAGCATCTTTCAGAGAGCTAAATGGAAGTACCTGCCTTAAAGTCTTACAAAAGCCTCAATACACTTCCGTTGCTGTAGGAGAAGAACAAAATGTGCCAGGGATGACCTTGCCATGGAGATGTGAAAAAAGATAGTGAATTCAATGAATGGCAACTACCAATGAAGAGTGGGAGAAACAGAAATGTGGATAAGATAGTGCAAAGAGATGATGAAAAGGGGGTAGATCCAGGTACTGTCTGTCTCAGAGTGCCCAGAAAGGCCTGAGTAGCTGCCAGTTTCAGTGCTGGTCTTGAACCCTGGCAGTTTTCCATACAAATCCTTGTGCAAAGCTCAATACATGACCAGAAGCCTGCATTTTCCAGTATTAAACGTCTGTCACTTACAACACAATCTACTTAGAAAGCCTTTAATCAGACTAGAGAAACTGCAATTTTCTCCTTTCGTGTTCATTATTAAAGCCAGTTGAGGAAATGGAACTGTCAGCAGTTTCCTGAGACATGGTCAGGCACAGTAATTGCAGAGGGCCAACAAACTAGCTTCATTCATCTCTATAAGACTCGTATCACACACAGAAGAAGAGGTGGAAGAGCAGAGAAAGTAGGAGGGATGATT